CGTTAGCGTAATACGTACTCGTGGCTCTTTACATGCACAAGTTCGTTCCATAGTTAGATATGTCATGGTTCTTTTTGTTGGTCGTAGGTTTGATTGTCACTTTCAGTTGTTTATTGCCAACACACGCACACAAATATACATGCACTAGCGCATGCACACACACACACACACGCACACACACGCACGCACGCACACACACAGCATGCTCAAGCTCAGCACCATATACTTCTGTGGTCTTAGCCATCGCAACGCAAAATATACGCACAGCGACTGGTAACACTGCCTCTTCGCCGGACGCCTAAAGAGAGAGCACGCATCAGCAAAATAAGCTGAAGCTTGCGACGATCCCAAGCACATGCTTGTTGTTCGGAGCAGCGCTTTTGCTACCTATCGGCTAAAAACGCACTTGAGCTTGATTTTTCCTGCGTGTTTACAGCTGTTACTGACTGTGACGACAAAACTGCACCACCTATTCGTGTAACTTGTTCCTCGCTACACGTAAAAGTAGGAAGCGGAGGCTATAGTTGACATATCAACGCAACAACGCCGTCCAAGTTTTCTTGCTAGACGTCTTTGCGTAAGAAGTTTGTATAACGCCCGAGTATTTCGTGACCCGTTTGCCAAATCGGACGGAGATTTAAAATGGCGAATTAAACTTTAATTCACCGTTTTAGGTCTCAGTCGACAGCACGGCATGGTGGTGACGACGGGAGTCACGTAAAGCTGGAGTACGGCGTGTTCAGCGTACGCTTATTTTTTTTTTTTTTTATGCCAGTTTCGGTGGCAACCGGTACACTTGACCTTTTTCTAGCATTAACTGTTGTCGCTTAAATGAAGACGGCTAAATGGTCATTTCGAAGCCGATTTCAAGGTTGGATTCACAGCCGTGTCACGGTCGTGGTCTAGTGGCTAAGGTACTCGGCTGCTGACCCGCAGGTCTCGGGATCGAATCCCGGCTGCGGCGGCTGCATTTTCAATGGAGGCGAAAATGCCATAGGCCCGTGCTGCTCAGATTTGGGTGCACGTTAAAGAACCCCAGGTGGTCGAAATTTTTCGGAACCCTTCACAACGGCATCTCTCGTAATCATATGTTGGTTTCGGGACGTTCAACGCCTTATCAATCAATCATCAAGGTTAGATTCGCTCTTTGCAGCTGTCAGATACTGTTGTTCGTGCTGTAGTCGCTGCATGTATACGCTTTCCCGATCACGTTTTCAGTCTACAAAGCGGGCACAACTTTTTTAAATGTATGGTCCTGAAGTAAACATGGATGTTTGGGCCACTGTTTTATAAGTAAGCCCGTGAGAACAACTATTTGAAGTCGGAAATGAAATATCTAGCAACTTACAGTTGAAGATTCAAGCTACTATGTAGAACAACAATCAAGCAAAAATATACATCGGACTACTAAACAATGTATAGATTTGTTTGTAGCCCACATTGTAGCTCAACTGCTATATTTTCTTGCATAATGCCGGAAATTAGTGATATTGACTAAGTGCAGGCATTTTTTAGATAATGCTGCCAAATTTATAGTGATGTGGAAAGGAATATCTAGTATACTTTTCCCTTACTGAGTGAAATGCTTTCCGCAATACCATGATCTTTAATTAAAAAATTCCACTGCCTTTAAGTCACGTAATTTTTAGTCACCGGAATAACCACCGGTAATCTGTGAAAATGCAGTACAACGTCCCCAGTTTTTCTTTACTTTTAACTCCCTCATATTCTTCATAATTGGAAGACGCTTAGGTTGGATCCCAGAGATTATTGTGTCATTGATGCAATTACAATAGCGGAATCAATGAGACGGTTGGTTCGCAGAGCGCTCACGATATTCCTTCATGCTTCCCGCAGTTACAACGCAACACCTGTATCTTTGCGGTCTTTAAAATATGTGCATAACACTTAACAACATGATTTTTTTCTGTCAACCTCGTAAACTGCTCAATATTTTTTTTCAAATGATGATCGTATTTGCAGTGATGGAGGTTTTAGCAAAGGAAGTTTTAAACAAACAAGCTAGAGTGCAAGCTCTCACAACTACGTAGCAGCAAATATGCAGCCAAAATACTTCACCTGAATTACATAGCATTCGCAGGTAATACCCGACAAGGGATAAAAAGCATTAGTTTTGCAAGTGTAAATGGTAAGTTGATGGCAAACTAGATCACTGTTCCTCATGAGTGAGATAAATTCGGATGAGATCGCAACCAAGACCTCTAATGAAATGGCCGACAATTTATTTCAGGCTTTTTAAGGAAACCAGCAAGACAAATAGAGAAGTTTAACAGATGTCTGTCCGAAGCGAATAGGCGTACAAAACTCATAGGCCGTGTGGAGAGTCGCTACTGTATTCTCAGAAGAGTGACAGCTTGGGCTAGTTGGTAGGACATGATGAGAGTTATAGCGCGAGAACAGAATAAACACACAGAAACAAGGACACGAATCGTGTCCTAGTCTCTGTGTGTTCGTTCTGTTCTCGCGCTTTAACTATCATCATGTATTCTCAGCATTTCAGCTAAAGTTTTATGCTGCCCATGCCTCGATGGCTGAGACTTGACTTCACATTTGGAACATAGTTTTCACTCCACAATGTCTCTTTGAAAGCCCCATTGGTAATATCTGTAGTGGAGAGTGGGCGAAATCTCGACATCATGACGCTAGTATCAGAGCTGTCAAACAAGCTTCCTCTGAAACGTACGAAATGTAGAAGAAGACTACGATAAAAAAAAACTCCGAAGACGGTGAGCACACAATACATATGTTCTCTCGTTTTTCTAGAAAGGAAAGAATGGTGGCAAAAAATTGAGATTGTGAGCATGCAGACTGATAAATATTCCACTGGCCACATCAGAATTTGTATTACGGAGAAAGCCACGGATGCGGCGTAGGGAGCAGATGAGATTTTCTCTACCAGTAGTAGACTGTAGCATCTCGTCGCTTCCTAGCACCGTTTCCGTTTCTATTCTCATCTGCGTCCCGACGAGCTGGCTACACGCCGGATGGCATGCATATTGCACATTCGTAGCTTATACGCTCTACAACAGCTGCACATCTAGCTGTCAAATGGCTGACAACGCACATGTCCGCTCTCTCTCGGCTTGGAGAGCAATATTTTTATTTAAAAAATAACGCACACTCCTTGCTCGAAAAGCTATGTCCAAGCTCTGGATGACGCGTTTGACGTAAAGTTTTTTTTTTCGATGCGCGAAAGTAAAGACAAACAAAACTCGTTCCAGAAAGTACATGCGAGGCTAGTCGTATTCCTTTTAACTCCCTCTTCGGAGGAGGGAGGGACAGTTTTATTATTAAAGCATTCAACGCCTCACCAAATCCTGAAAATATTGCAGTGTATTGGTTTCATTGCTTTCTCGGCATGAATTATTGCGAACATTTCGCTGCGTCATTCTGGCGCGCGTAACGACAGCTTTTTTTTTTTTTCGTACCAAGCACTACACCTTCATAAAACAGCGTCATGCTATGAAAAAAACGGCGTTATCAGTTATCGTATCTAATGATGATGATGATTGTGAAAATGATAGGTAGTGTTTTATGGCGCAACTATTGGCAACGCACTACGATATACTCTGACGAAGGCTGTGCCACTTATCTTTTACAGGTCATTTGGTACTTTATTTCTGTATATTTACATTATTTAGCTTGCGCGTTTCGCTCAACAAGAATTAAGTAATTCGAGCAAAAAAATACGAAGAAACTTTGTTGTGTAAGCACGTTTGTGGGTGCGGCTGCCTGTCACCCTCTCTTGTTCATCTTTTCTCTGTATCCGCATAACACCACATGGAGTTTGTTTTTTGTTGTTTTTATTGTCCTGTAGGCTTTTTTATGCAGCGAAGGTTTTGCTTAGACCATTATTCAGAACATGGTAATTTCGTGTAAAATCTCTTAGGGAAAAGCAAAAATGACGAATATTTTCAAATAACGTTTCCCGCGAAAATATTGGCTATTATGGCTTCTTTCCCTGAACTCTTTCTGACAGTAAGTGATTTGTAAGTTAGTCAGGTCATCGGCCTTTCTTGACGGGTAAAAAAAAAGGTTATTGGTTTCTAAAGTGGCGATCCTGCAATAATCTTTTCTTGGTCTTCTTGTTTTATTTATTTTTGTGTGGGCAAACCACAGGAGCGCATGCTGCTTCCGTCAAGCAGCAACGTCCGCTTGAAAGCACTTTCTTTGAGAAAAAAACAACCTATATGTCAAGCACTTTATCTGACCTCTCCTTCAGAGTACTGGCTACACCAACGTACACAGTGAAGCAATGAGTTATAGTCATCAATGGGCATCTTGTGTACTTTGTAATATTGAGAAGTTGTAGTACCAGGACTTCAGCTGAAACTACGCTGTAAAAATGTAGAGGGTCAATCATACATCTGTTCATCCTTTCAAGAGCTTGGCATCCACCTAGAAGTTGATCACCAGGCTACAAACGTTCCTGATGTGAGTGTCTCGACAAGAAAGCCTCACAACTCAAGAAAACTTTCATCGCGGTTGAGAAATTCAACTTTGCGTCACCACCTTTCCTTGTGCGAAAAACCCCAAGAAGCTACAAGGGGCTATTTAGCGTCTCGCAACACTTAGGGCCGAGTTGTCGAGCCACAGCACTGTCTAAACACGACAAATGTTTAGTAAACAATGGAGGCTTAGCGTAATGAGTCGTCAGCCAATGAATGTCGGTGGAGCCAGCGTTTCGACAAAAAGACTTCGCCAGGCCAAATACCGTCCGACACCAAGTTCCCCGATGACGACCCCTGTCTAAATTTGATGCGGAACAAAGGAGTGCTAAAGGACGGGGGCGCGAGTTAGAAACACACAGGACAGGAGCTCTGGACGTGCATGTCTAGCTAACATTCGCATTTTTTTTTTTTACCGCTCCTAGGTTCCTTATTAAGTACTAATCAACTTAACCAAATAGATGTCTTATACTAAACGTTGTGGAAACGCTGGCTCTAGCGACGTCCTTCGCCAGCAGCCCCGCCACTCACCGTGCAGCTGGATCGCCTTCGCTCTTCGCTCTCGGGCACCGACAGTGAACTGCGGGGCGATGCCCTTGGCGATGGCCTCGGCGACACCCTGGGAGACCTGGCTCCGGCTGCTGCCGTGGGGACCACGGTGACGCAGCGCGTCGCCGCCGAGGAACCGCTGAGTGCCGACAGCTGCAAGTCGGAGGAAGAAGGGCCGGGCGACAGGCTGGCCCGGTGGCGAGACGGCGCCGCCAGGCTGTTCCGCGGGCTGAGCGACGACGACGAGGCGCTGCCGGCCACCGCAGGAGACCAGGCGGGCACCGCCATGGACTGGCGGCGCGAGGAAGAGGACGCCGAGTAGGCGCCCGTGACCGCGATGCTGGCGCGACGCAGGTTGGGCTGCGACGAGCGTCGGCTGCCCTTGCGGTGCAGCATGGTTCCCCTGCGGACCAACATTGACATGGCTTTCGAGGCACGGCCTCGCCTCGCGTTAGTTTCGTTCACGCTTGTCTTCGCGGTTCGATTGCGCCGCTCAGCCGCAGCCTGCGCACGAAGGCGCGGCTGAAGGCATGTCCATCGGATGGCACGTTACAAAGTGTCTCTTCCCACAGTCTTGTCTTCGTCAGTGAAGTCCCTAAGTGTCGGTCCTTTGTTTCTCCGAGGAATCGACATGCGAGAAGTGGTGTGTCTATTATGGTGCCTCAGTGGTCACTGGGTCAAGCGAGATCAGTCCACGGGAGGTGTTCTTCGTGCCGTCTCGTGTCCCCGTCGCAGCAGAGTCTTTCGCTCCAGAATACTTTCACGTCTTTGGTTTTTGGTCACTTGGCAAATGTTTCTTCACATGAAAACTCGCAAAAGGTCTTCTTTTTCTTATCGATCGGTTTATTAACGAAATAAAAAAGTAGGTCACTGATGTGTAAGGCAACTGAGTAGGTCAATTAGCACTTGGAGACGCTTGGCTCGTTTGTGAGGCAGGAGTGCCACGAACGCTTACGGCCAAGCCTGTCTGCATAAGCAAAAGCTCTGTTTTGAGGTTTTATCAAATACTCTGTGGCTTGTTAACCAGAATCTGCAGAGTAGCCCCAGCAGGGCTCGCTGCATGCGGTAAACAAGTCGCCTGTTTGCGAGCTCCGAATCATGCGGCTAGAACTAACCGGCAAATGGCAACCTTGCGCAAATGTGAGACGGACTGATTGGCATCAACATATAAATATGCTAAGCTCGCACGTTTTATCTCTCTCTCTCTCTTACCATTCAGGTCATGTGAATAATTGGGTCATATATCAAAAAGGAGAAATGTTCATTTGGAGCCGGCAAAAGTAGGGTTCAGGTAACTTCCCTTTAGAGGGACAGAAAAGGAAATTAAGTTCGAAAAAAATTAGTGATGAGCCCAAATTACCAATCAAACCTTGCTCCTCACCTTACTAATCAAACACAGCGCTTATCTTTCTTGCGTCCTATGCTCTTTTAGAGTCACGTAACCCAGATACCGTATTATATTCAAGAAGCTCACATTGGTCACTCTGCATCACAAGCTATCGGGTTGCTAAGTGCAAGAGGCCTCTGGGAACTCTTTCACCCACTGTCAATATAGCGGGCCGCGGAGTTCCGCTTCAAATTTCCGTGTTCTTCTTGTCACCGGTCGATGTCGGGCACGCGCACCTCCAGTTCGCTCCCACCGGCGCGCTAACAGTTGCGTGGCGTGCCACGCGATGTATTTTGAGAACCCACTCTTCGCGCGTCTCCGCCGATTCGTCTCGCAAACGGAAGCGCTGATTTCACGGCGCACGCTGAGCTATCACCTAGGGCTCGCTGCGACCAGGCACTCGGATCGATCGCGAAAAACGCGGAACGTGCGTCGAAAACAAGCTAAGAGTTACGGCGCTCGGTGAACGTGGCGAGCGCGTAGTCATGACGCGCAGGTGAACTCTTTAGCCCATCACGCCAACAGATGTCAGTCGCAGTGCGTACTAGTTTACACTGCCCGTCGGGTACGAGACCTGCTGTAGTTGGCGTTGCTCGTAAGTGATGAATAAAAATTGAATCGTGCTAAGCTACGCTGTTGCCACTCGCTGATCTTCTGTCATGGTAATGAGCATAGGAGGCTTCGCAACTGAATCGACTGCTTCTACTGCTTGCTTGATTCGCTAGCTTGCGATTTGTCGGCGTACAAATAAAAGTCGATAACGCTTCCCTGCACTTCTGAGTGCCGACAAGCTGCGTGTAGATTTTCCTGGGTGGAAGTTTGGCAGTTCGAAGTTGCTCGCTCGTGGTGCTAGAGTCTCTCGAATTTTCAACCGAAATAGTCGACTATTCTGCGTGTTCTTTTACTTCGGTTCCACCAATCGGAATTTTCGGATTCGGAATGTCAGCTTTTTTTTTTTTTTTCAATCAACAGTCTCCTCGACTCTTTCGTATATGTCCAGCGAATAAGGCAAGCAACGTTCCGAACGATGACCTAACTTTTTTTTAATCCTTCCTCTCACCTTTGAAATTCAGCGGCGAATTGCAGACACGCGACTATTTTCAACATTTTGCTGAAAACACAGATGGTGTGAGTTCAATGCACGGGCTGAGCGCTAATCTGACAGCTCTAAATAACGCGAAAACATCGAAAAAACTCACTGACGCTCAAATCACGCTCTACAAAAAAAAAAACTGCAATCGTAGCTACGTTCCTACAGGTTTTCACGTCAAGGAGGTCTTGCGCGCCGGTCACGTAGTTGCGCCAGCTGTCAGCGGCACAACTAGTCGAACAACACACGCAACAATCCAATTTTAGTCACGACTTTCGCTGTCTGTTCTCGAGACTCGAAGCCTACAGTGACGAGGTTCCTCGCTGCGACGTCAGAACACAAAACACAAGATGCAGCTTCTCTTTCGCACACTTAACGTTGGTTTCCGCCCCGTGTGGCGACACCGAAGACTTGGCGTAGTTGGCGTTGTTGCTTCACGGTCTGCAAGACGAAAAGTTTCTTCGGTGAGGTTAGCTTCTCCCGTTTCCGAAGTGCTTTCCGTGCGGCGCGATGACAGGTGACGCTGTGCCGTATGTTGGGCGACTCGCTACAACAGCCGAGCCAAGTGCGGGTCAAAGCCGCGCGTGAGGAGCGGTCGGAGAACGCGTCTGGTGCGTTCGCGCGCCCGACAGCGTCTGCCGATTGGCAGCGCGGAGTCGCGCGGCGCGCCTCTCAGCTGGGAGCGCGATCGAAGGCGGCGGCCGCAACCAACGACGACGCTGCCACGCGCCGGCAAGCGCTTTTGGCGCGCAAAAACGCGCCGCTGCCGCTGTTTTTGACGCGCGCCGTGTCTCTCTCCCAGACTCCTTCAGGTGGGCGCGCTGTCCGCAAATTTCAGCGCGTTCGATGCTGTTTCAACTGCGTGTCGTTTTCCTCGTTTTGTTAACTATAGCATTGAGCCAAACACTTGTCGGGAACACTCTCATGTTTGGTTTCGATCGATCATTCACTGAGTTCAGGCGCTTTCTTTTGCAGTAAAAAATGTACAAAATAGGTCACAATACTTGCGAAAACATCGAACACGTCATGCGTGATAGTTTTCGAGTACGACTCAAGAACGACAGATCTTGAACACAACAGCGCTGTTGCTGTCCTTGAGGGATACTCACCTTCGCGAAACATTATGGAGGGCAACATGCAGATTTGTGACTGTACGATTCTTTTGTTTGTATATATATTCATACTACTGTAAAGCATGGTGATAAACCAGGCTACCATCTAGGGGAATATTGTAAAAAAGTTGATATATTTATGTTCAAGAGAAAAATATTAGCATGGCCGCCTTATTTGTGGGTCCCGACATTTTCGTATGCATCACGACAAGCCATGACTCTTTGAAACTTCTGTCTTATTTATAAGGTCAGTATAAGTCAGTATTTCTCATTTAAAATTCAGTACAGGAATCAACAAGGCATCATTTCTTTATCCTAATGAACCCCAAACAATTTTTTTTCACAATAAATGAGAGAACAGTCGTATTTGCTTCGATGTGCCAAAAGTTATACTATCTCACGGGCTCCTCAAGGCAGGAGTGGGGGGGGGGGGGGCGGAGTACACGGTAAGCTAGAGCCTCTTCTGAAGCAAGGCGCTCAGCGACCCCCTCTCTATGGTAAATCCGTATTATGGAATTTTTTTAGCTCACGAGGAGTGGATTAAGCGTGCGCTGCTCTCAAGCAAAAATAAAGAAACGGGTGGTGGAGCTCGCTATAAAGTTCCAACAAAAAAAAAAATAAGCCAGTTTCACACGAGTGATGCCAATGCTGAAGAAAGTGGAGCTTGGCGTCTTTTCTTGTTTTCTTAGTTTTTCTCTACTTTCACTTTGTTTTTGCTACCTATCTATTGTTCTTGCATTCCTTCGCTATATATCTCTAGCGTTCACTCGTTCTTTTTCTCTATATTTTTCTCACTTTCTTCTTATTCTCTCCCTCTCTTACTGTCGAGCCCTCTGTTCTTTCTGCCTGTTTCTCTGTATCTCTTTCTATCTCTGTCCTCTTGTTTCTCTAGCTACTTTTTTTTTTTACTGCACTCGTTTTCTTGCCCATCCTCAGCTCAGCGGGGGAGAGAGCGCTGAGCGCACACGTTGGGGGAGAGGGGGAGCGGTAAGTGAGGAGGATGAAGAGAGTGCACGCCAACCGATTTATTGCATTGCACGCGCTTTCTTAGAAAGGTAGAGGCCACTCAAGTTGATACTTACAACGAAAAGCGTGATAGCTCCGCTGTAAAACGGAGGTCTTACAGGGTGTCATTCGTCCAGCGTGCGTGCCCTCGTTTTTCTTGAAAACAACCAAAGTGGGCACGTATTCTGGGAATAAAATAAGGAGGGTAGGGGGTGCCGAGCTGTGGCCAGAGTTTTTCAACCCTCACTTCTATCCATAGTATTCTGCACTAACGCCACTAACGCCCCCCCCCCCCCTTTTTTTTGTCATGGATTGCACCGCAGTGCTCAAGGGTGGGCTAGCAGAGGAACTTAAAATATTAAGTAAAATACACCCTCGTTCACACAATGCACTTGCTCTTCAGCCAACCTATTTCACCATTTGATTGGTTGAACAAAAGTGAATTGGCATGCATGTTCGTCTTGCCAGGGTACTCCAGAATGTTACAAGTATGATCGGTGTGCTGTAAAATCTAATTAGGTTTCTGTATGTAAATTTCTCGGTTAATTCCAATTGAATAGAAAAAGTGTATTCTCTGCTTATTTCAGCTGACAGAGTATTCTCACCCGCGCTCAGCTTTCACTGCAGTGCAGCTCTCCTTTCTTCCGTACTAGCCCAAGACGAAGCTAGCTGATTGGTTTTTGTGTTTGATCTAGAGTAGAAACAAAAGTTAAGGGGCTGCCCTGGAGTTAAAAAGAGAATATAGTCGACTTTCAGCCGAAATCAATTTGCATGAATTGGGCCCGTCATTCGTTGGATTTGG